TGCAGTGCAGCACAACTGCATTCTGTTGTGGCTCAAAGGAAATGTTTTGCCTGATGCCAACATTTATTCAGATTTATGATACTTAGAAAGTCAACATTAAGTAGTGATAACTCCTAGGAGTTTTTATCTCATCTTTCATGTTTTCTTAAATCTTGAGTCGAAGGTTTTTTTTTTTTCATTTTGTTGGGTTTTTTTTTGTTATAGTTACATTGGTTCATCTTGCACCAGTTTAAGTGTGTATATTCCAAACCTGTCCGATCCCTGTGGAAGTGGAGAATCACTGTAGTAGCATCAGATGCGAATATATTTATCCTCACCTCACCTTCCAGGTCCCATGCCGAGCACAGGAGCCATTCAGAGAATGCCCATTATTCTCAGTGAATGCAAAGCATTTTTGCTTGGACCAGGTGGAGAGGTGGGGCACTAATATATTCACCTCATCCAGAGAACACATTCCTTCAAGAGACAGCAAGGAATACTGTTGTAGTGGTGGCTAGTAGTGTGTGTTTCTTGAGTAGCATTTCTAAATCTTAAGAGTGCGGGGCTACTAAATAGAAAAGTCTTGCTTTTTTATGAAAGGTCTGCTTCAATATTTGATAAGGAAAAGAAGGCTGATGTATTTTTTTCCATTACCTGCACACCGGGGCTTACAGGAACTGGATACATCATATTTGGTGCAAAACATACTGGCTGAGTGTATACCGGGGTTGGCTGCTGATGGGCCACCATTGAAGGACTTGGCTGAGCTTGTGGTCTGGGAGATGTTGGAGTTGTAGAAGGCTTAGGCTGCAACAAAGAGATCTTCACACATTTAAATATCCAGATAAGAATAAAAAAGGACATATGCAGTCACTTCATAGAAAACAATATACAGAAAGCTTAAGTAGCTAAATTAGCACACTCTAATTTTAAATTGAAGTAAACCCAAGGAAAAACATTCACTTTCACCCTTGAAAGCTGACACAACTATAAATTATAAAGTCTTTTTTCTTTCTCAAATTATATTAATACATTAAAAAAGTAATCATAAATAAAAGAATAAGTAAATAATAAAATAAAATATAAATAAATATCCTCCTTATCCAAATGTCCACAAGTGCAATTCCAAAAAACTATAGTCCTCTTTTTTTTCCAAGAAAATATCTCACCTATTTTCAATCTTCAAGTCATGTCCAAATATTCATATACCTCAAAAACCAAAAAAACTCAACATAGTGTATTATCCTTATATCAAAAGGAAAAAAATTTTAGTGTTTGATGTGACTCACTTTATATGGCACGTTTTTCCTTTTGATAGAAGGATAATACACTATGTTGAGTTTTTTTGATTTTTGAGGTATATGAATATTTGGACATGACTTGAAGATTGAAAATAGGAGAGATATTTTCTTGGAAGAAAAAAAAAAAAAAAGGGACTATAGTTTTTTGGAATATACAGAAAGCTGTTCTACATAAACATTGCAAGGATGATTGACAGAGGTCTTAACTGGTTTAAAACAGAACACAGGAGCCATAGTTTTTTTTTTTTTTTATTTGGTTAAAAAGAAAGAAAAAAAAAAAAGTTAGAAACTTGTGTGCATGTTGGTGCTTTTATTGAAAATAGTGTCCCTGCTGGAGAGTGTCCCAGTAACTTAAAGTGTAACTAAACCCACAAGAATAAAATCTGTCTGTAAATGCAGTAATGCATCCTTGTAACCTTCACTCTGGCACCTAAAAAGTTAATCCCCAGCATTGTGTAAAAAAAACCTGGTTGATCCTGCCAGTCTCTGATTTTCCCTTCTTTCACTGTCCCCAATTCAGGCAATGATAATGCTCTGTTTTATCTGTGTGACATTATACATGAGGATGTATAGGCAGGTGATTAATGACAGCCAACATCCTCCCTCCTCCTCCATGCCCACTAAGTAGCAAAATAGTGAGTGATAGCTAAAGATAGAGAAAGATTATCATCAATGTGCAACTCCACCCACACCACGTTGTTGCTGCATAATAAAGCTTTAATTTCAAATATGTACTTAGATTTAACATTACATCATAGTATAAAATGATCATACATTTTCCTACTGCATCATTAAAGACTTTCTGGAGGCTGTCTTGTGACCGGGACAGCATCAATCACTGTCACTGTCACAATCACTGTCTGGACACAAGGTTCACAGTTCATGCTTCCTCTTCTGATGTACATAGATACATCAAAAGAGAATGGAAGCTCCTCCTATGATCTCTCCCAGCACTTGGCTCAGCATTACATATGAATCACATGACCGCTGTATAAAGCTATGGCATTATGGGTACTGAGCAGTTTAAATTTTTTAAAACTACACAAACATTAATGCCATACTTTGCATACCATATAAAAACCTTCTATATGTTCTGCCATTTAGTATCACTTTAAAACTGAAAGCAAATACTGGCTGGTGCTGTGGTTTAATGGAACCACTAAAATTCTACGGAGAAAAACCATTCTGTTTGCAACCCTGGAGAATGGAAAACCACAAGTTTAACCTCCCTAGCGGTATTCCCGAGTGTAGGGGTAAAATCTCAGCACAAGCGGTAACCCTGAGCTACACTCGGGCTTACCATGCGGCGTTGCTCAGGGATTTCCTGCAGAGCTTACCTTGTCCTTCGCTCCCGCGATGTGTCCCCTGCAGCGTCCCCGGCCATCTCCTCCGGCCGATGCCAGCATCCGGCTTCCGTGTTCCTGTCCCTGTGACATTGGGACGTATGGGCGCCGGAACCGGCGGCAAATTTGAAATTTTTAAAAAATATATTTTTTTTTTAAACGATTATTACATAGCAAATAATTGCTGTTTCAAAGCATTTCACATACATTTTGTCCCTACTGCTTTGTCCTGCGCCCTGCCTACATTTTGACTGTTCTTTCTGCCTGGAAACTGGGAAAAGTCCATGGCGTCCAAAAAGCGTCCCTTTAGGTCAAAATCGGTTTTAGACCAGCTAGAAAACAGCGATAGTAAATCAGAACCACTTGCAGAATTGAGTGATGATTCGTGGGGAAATTCGTCATCAGACACTGAAAACGATTTTGCGACTTTGCTCAGTGATGTGCAAACTTGGCGCTATATTTCAAATTTCAGTGTTTTTGGTTTGATTATATTATTGAATTAACGTTATATTATTTTTTATGATTATTTATTAAATTATAATTTATGATTTTGTGTTTCAAGTTTTATCATATCTGGAATGTTTACTAGACTCTTGTTCGGACAGATTTCAGTGAGTTATTCCTAAAAATGACAGGCCTACAATAAAAAAAAACTACATATTTCCATGCAAAATAATGGTACCGCTTTCAGCACCAAAAATCTTAAATAATCATACCGCCAGGGAGGTTAAGGAAGGATACTTCTACCATGTTCGAAAGAAACGGCTTACACACAAGAAAGATTAAAAAAAGGACGTTTGAGAAAGTACAACTGCCAATTCCTTTCATGTTTCTGCATAAACTATCAATTTGTTAGGCCGAAGGAACCACCAAGAGAAAAGCCTTCGTATCCAACAAAAAGGAATGGGTGTCAGGATCCCTCAACTGTATATTTATTCCTTGGCAGGAATTCAGAAATTGAGGGTAGGAAAATTTGCATTGCAGCAAAGTAACTAAAGCAATTACCTGAGCATATGACCGTGGGTTGAACTCCTTAGCATTAGGATTTAGGGTAGATTTTCGTACTTGGCTAGAAGAAAATACAAATGATATACAGTTACTGTGTGAAAGAAAAAAAACTAAACAAAATACTGTGCTTTTATATAGCTAACAGACAATGAACTTTAGCCTGTGCCACTAGAAACTTAATAAAATAATATATGCCAAGTAAATTCCAGATGAACTTGATCAGAACTAACAATGCCTAAACTAAAAACAGTGCTGAAGTACAGGTACTCTGGTACCCAAAAGTACCTGTGCTAGTCCTCAAATGTATCACCGATACCATCCTAGGCTGTCCAAACTGCCTCTATCTGAAGTCATACCCTGTCTCCAACAGCAAATCTACAATGGTCAGTAGAGGCAATAGCATTTTACACATAATGACAGCTTATTTAAAAAAAAAAAAAACAAAAAAAAAAAAAAAAAAAACGCAAAATAAGTACTTTTTTGCACTAGGTGCATGCACTCCAGTACAGCTTTGACACTTTTACAACTTAAAGTATAACTAAAGGCCAAACTTTTGTTTAAATAGGAGTGAAGAGGGATTAGAACACCTGTCAGGTCTTGAATTGCCATCGGAGTTCCCATTGGGAAGATTCATACACTATATTTGTGCTTGTGAGTGACTCACTGCAAAAAAAAAAAAATAATTTTGGGTCGTCATTAAAACAGGAATTAAGAGGAAATCTTCCAATGGGGACACTAGTGCCGATGACAACCAAGGATTCCCTCACTTCCGGTTTTGGTGATGTGACAGAAGAGAAAGCTCCTCAATGGCGGATCTCTATAGAAAATAAAAAAAAAGTCTTAAAAGTAGAGCTAGAGTTCAAATCAAAGTGCACTTAGTAGTAAGCATTATGCACTCAAGCAGGAATTAAGAACAGCAGACACTGGCCTTGATTCAATTTAACAAGTAAAGCTGAATTTTTTCTAGTTAAGTCTGTCTCAAGATCATGGCAGCACCAAGTATAGGTTGAGAAGTGGTACTTCTACCATCAGCTCTCTGTAGTTGGCATAGGTTTCCACCTAACATTATCTACCTAGCTTGTTCACTCCTCTGGTCTTCAGTGCAAGTGACACCTCACTTTTTCCAAAACCTAAATCTCCTTGAGCTGCAAAGATACCATGAACAGTTTGACAGTCATGGGTAGTATGAAGAGCTAAACTGAACACTAAAGAATTTTACTCACTCTGCAGCATTTTCCTTTTTGTCATCCTTGTCCTCCCGATCCTGCTTGCCAGGGCCAGAAGTTTGTACACCTTGTGATGTAACCTCTGGGCCTCTCTTGGGTTCAGAGCTACTACTGCTAATGGACGGGGAGATACTCGGACTGCTTGGCTTGCTGCTGCTGTTACTTGTAGGTGCATTGCTGCCGCTTTCACTAGCTGACTCCTTGGAACTTGAATCTGGCTTTTCCTTAAGAAGTTCTCTAGGCTTCTCCACACCATCACGATTTTTTCCGAGAATGTGATCAATAGCATCGGGGCTTGAACTAGACTGAAGCTATAGAAAACACATAAAAGGACATTAGCTGCACAATTTAAGGATTGAATATGCTCAAGAACTCAGCAGAGCTGTGACTCAAGATTAAGCTTTTAGTTTTTAAACAGTTCTTGTGTACAAAGTGTAGCTTGAAACTTGTACAGCAGTACTTACCCTAAAGTCATTTTTAAACTTCTTTAAATCATCCAGTTGCTTCCTTTGTTCTGAAGCCATTGGAGGCATTACTATGGGAAGAAAAAGGAAGAAAAAGTAAGACCAGACAAATGTTCATTCTTTAAGCCACACCAGCTAACCTTTACAGTAAAATTAGTATTGCAAGGTCATAAAATAAAGCACAAGCGAAGTAAATGTCTATATTTGGCTTAAAGTTTAGCTCACCCTGGTTTTTCTGCTCACTTTTTGATGACGTACATACATAAAGAGCTAGTGGATGATAGAAGTAAATCTCTAGCCTTCAAAAAATAGACGCCATATAATGCTCATTACTATATTAGCCATCAAGATCTTTTGCATGCCCTTGACTAATATTTACTTGTTTACGGTGGCCTGACTAACTTCATTGCTAAGCAGAATCAACTTCCGCTGCAAACTCTAATGACTGTCTCAGTGGAAAATAAAGGCATGTTCATTGGACAGCAGTAATTTAAAACAGTGTTTTAGCCATGAAACCAGTTACAGGTTCACTTTAAAGAATCCAGACATAATTAGGTGCAATATGAACTGTGACAAAGACAACGTGAGTAATAATCAGCAAGTGAACATAAATAATACATAAAAATATAATGGCCTGAACCCAGACCAAACTAAGTGCAATATAGATTGTGCTGAAATACAATGTGAACAATAGTCACCAAGTGAACATAAATAATGTTTTCAACATAATAGAACTACTACGTCCTAAATAAAAGTGCAGAAAAAAAAAAAACTGTGCCAAAATCTAATGGCAAAAAATATGTGCAAAACTAATCATACAAGGTGCATGGAAGTATAAATGCATGAAACTATAAACACATCATAAATAATACATAGAAATGTAATGTAAAGGCCTGAAAACAGACCAAACCAAGTGCAATATGGTATTGTGATGAAAACAACGTGCACAATAATCACCAAGTGAATATAAATGATATATTCAACATAATAGGACTAACACGTCCTAAATAAAAATGGCACAAAAAGCACCGTGCAAAGAAACACAAAAACCTTATAGTGCAGTGCTACTAAAATGCAATTCCCGTAATTCTTAGTATATAAATATGCAGAGATATAAAAGCATAGTCAAACAACTGATATCACACATGCTTATAAATATATGTGCAAATAGGTGAACTGTAGTCCTGTTGTTGCTTCAGAACTACTCAATACACTAGTGCCCCCTTAAATCACATTCTACACTGTGTTCCAAATTATTATGCAAATTCTATTTAAGTGTCACAAAGATTAAATATTTTGTTTTTCAGTTTAACTCATGGATGGCATTATGTGTCAGGGCTCTTTTGATCACTGAAAACAATCTCGGACACCTGTGATAATTAGATTGGCCGGTGAGCCCAATTTAAGGAAAAACTACTAAAGGAGGGTGTCCACATTATTCTGCAGAGCACCATTTTCAAGCAATATGGGGAAGAAAAAGGATCTCTCTGCTGCCGAAAAGAGTGAAATAGTTCAATGCCTTGGAGGAGGTATGAAAACATTAGATATTTCACAAAAACCTAAGCGTGATCATCGCACTATTAAGAGTTTTGTGGCTGATTCAGAGCACAGACAGGTTCGTGCAGATAAAGGCACATTGAGGAAGATTTCTGCCAGATCCATGCATCGGATCCAGAGAGCAGCTGCTAAAATACCATTACACAGCAGCAAACAGATATTTGAAGATGCTGGTGCCTCTGGAGTCCCACAGACATCAAGGTGTAGAGTCCTCCAGAGTCTTGCAACTGTGCATAAACCTTCTATTCGGCCACCAATAACCAATGCTCACAAGCAGAAATGGCTGCATTGGGCAGAAAAATACATGAAGACTAATTTTCAAACAGTCCTGTTCACTGATGAGTGCCGTGCAACCCTGGATGGTCCAGATGGATAGAGTAGTGGATGGTTGGTGGACGGCCACCCTGTTCCAACAAGGCTGGGACGTCAGCAAAGCGGTGGTGGAGTCATGTTTTGGGGCGGAATCATGGGAACAGAGCTGGTCGGCCCCTTTAGGGTCCCCGAAGGTGTAAAGATGACCTCTGCAAAGTATGTGGAGTTTATGACTGACCACTTTCTTCTCTGGTACAGAAGGAAGAACTATGCTTTCCGTAATAAAATCATTCATCATGCATGACAATGCACCATCTCATGCTGCAAATAATACCTCTGCATCAATGGCTGTTATGGGGATAAAAGGAGAGAGTCATGGTGTGGCCTCCATCCTTCCCTGACCTCAATCCTATTGAGAACCTTTGGAGCATCCTCAAGCAAAATCTATGAGGGTGGGAGTCAGTTTACATCCAAACAGCAGCTCTGGGAGGCTATACTGACATCTTGCAAATAAATTCAAGCAGAAACTGTCCAAAAATTCACAAGTTCAATGGATGCAAGACTTGTGACGCTGCTATCAAATAAGGGGTCCTATGTTAAAATGTACCGTGACCTGTTAAAATGTTTAAAAAGTTAAAATGTTGTTAAAAGTTTGATTGAAATAGCTTTTGATTTCAGTAAATATGCTGCAAACACAACAAATAACAATTTTCAGTTCTTTACAACCTCAAAAAAAGTGTTTTGAAACTTACTGTGCGTAATAATTTGGAACAGTGCATTGTAAGTTTTTTTAATGTTTAAAAAAAATACTGTTATTAGGAGGTTTGTTCAAAAAAATTTGAATTGTACTCTTAATAGCGGATAACATGAGAATTATGCTGACTGTTATTTACATCATTTAGGTAAATGAGAAAAATATAATTTGCATACTAATTTGTAACATGGTGTATATGCGTGATGAGTGAACATAAAAGAGTGACCAACCACAAATAATTATTGCCAAAAAGTTCGTAAATGGTAGGTATTCGTGCTCCACTTAGGATAAATTAATGCAGGAAGTGATAACACAGGTGATACCCAGTGATGGTGTAAACACACTCCTCCTGTGGCTAAAATGCCCCCTCACCTTCACTCTGCGACCCAATGGGCCAACACGCCTTTAAGATCACTGTAGGATCTTGCTCCAATAATGGTAGATATCCTCAGCAGGCCATCCGTGGACCCCTCAACCGGTAGGTAAGTATTCAGGACTCACTGACCTCAGCCATCAACTGACTTCGAAGTCACGTTACAGTGACGCCACGCGTAGATACGCCGTGACGCAGCTTCCGGTCCGCGGTGAAGTACATCCGGTACGGCCGCCATCTTGGCACACCCCAGAAAAAGCTGAAACCCATGCAATACACCCGTGCATGGGATCTGAGAATGATGTGAACCACTTCATTATGTCAGTGAGCATTTTTAATCTAATTAACTAGTAGCTGACCGCAGATAGCCAAATGACGGCTGCACTGCGGCCGGCCAGTACTGAGTGGATGTCATATGACGTCCCCCCAGAACGCGCTCTCCTGCGCGCCCCAGGGGGCGCGCACCCGGCGATCTCCGTTATCGCTGTGTCCTACGGACACAGCTGATCACGTGATGTGGTAAAAGGCCAATCACAGCGGCCTTTTACCACCTGATCAGCGGTGTCCAATGACACGCTGATCAGAGGGAAATGCAAGTGCCGGTTCTCGGCTGCACTTTCCTCACGCTGTCAGATCGTGAGGAAAGTACTGCCGAGAACCGGCAGTTGTCAGAGCGGGGATCGGCACCGATCATCAGTGCCCTGATGATCGGTGCCCAGCAGTGCCACCCGCAAGTTCCGCCCACCTGTGCCCAGCAGTGCCCCCACTAACTCCGCCCACCTGTGCCCAGCAGATTACCCACCTGTGCCCAGCAGTGCATCCACCTGTGCCACTCTGCAGTGTCACACACTGTGCCCAGAAGTGCCACCTACCTGTGCCCAGCAGTGCCCACCCACCTGTGCCCACCACCTGTGCCCACCCACCAGTGCCACCCACCAGTCAGTGCCCAGCGGTTGTGCCAGTCAGTGCTGCCAGTCAGTGCCCAGCAGTGATGCCAGTCAGTGCCGCCTATCAGTACCCATCATTAGTGTCACCTATCAGTGCCGCCTATCAGTGCTGCATATTAGTGACGCCTATCCGTGACACCTCATTAGTGCTGCCTATCAGTGCCCTTTAGTGCTGCCTATCAGTGCCCTTTAGTGCTGCCTATCAGTGCCGCCTATCAGTGCCCATCAGTGCTGCCTCATCAACGCACATCAGTGAAGGAGAAAAATTACCTGTTTGAAAAATTTTATAATAGAAACAAAGAAACTTTTTTTTCTTCAACTTTTTTGCAACTTTTTTATTTATAGCGCAAAAAGTAAAGCGCCCAGTGGCGATTAAATACCACCAAAAGAAAGCTCTATTTGTGAGAAAAAAATGATCAAAATTTCATATGGGTACAATGTTGCATGACCGCGCAATTGTCAATCAAAGTACGGCAGCGCTGAAAGCTGAAAATTGGCCTGGTAAATAAGGGGGTATAAGTGCCTGGTAGGCAAGTGGTTAAAAGAACTTTAGTTTTTACGAATTACTACACTTTCTTCATGGTTTGGATGAGTGGTATACCTAGCTGATGGCTGAGGTCAGTGAGTCCTGATACTTACCTATCGGTTGAGGGGTCCACGGATGGCCTGCTGAGGATATCTACCATTATTGGAGCAAGATCCTACAGTGATCTTAAAGGCATGTTGGCCCATTGGGTCGCAGAGTGAAGGCGAGGGGGCATTTTAGCCACAGGAGGAGTGTGTTTACACCATCACTGGATATCCCCTGTGTTATTCACTTCCTGCATTAATTTATCCTAAATGGAGCACGAATACCTACCATTTACGAACATTTTGGCAATAATTATTTGTGGTTGGTCACTCTTATGTTCACTCATCACGCATCTAGAGTGTGATTTAAGGGGGCACTAGTGTATTGAGTAGTTCTGAAGAAACAACAGGACTACAGTTCACCTATTTCCACATATATTTATAAGCATGTGTGACATCAGTTGTTTGACTATGCTTTTATATCTCTGCGTATTTATATAGTACTAAGAATTACGGGAATTGCATTTAGTAGCGCTGCACTATAAGGTTTATGTATTTATTACACGGTTTTAAGGTATTAGTTTTGAGTGTTAGTAGCTTGTGACTACAGGTACTCCATTAAGCGCAGGAGAAATTCAGACTTATTTACCGTGCAAAGAAAACTGTGACAATCAAAAATCAAAGAAATATATGTGCAAAACTAATCATACAAGGTGCATGAAACTAAAAATGCACCTTATAATCAGGATTGATGCCAGTGAAAAACACACAGTGGAAATAAACGTGCGTTAATAAGCACAAAAAATAATTAGAGCAACGCGACATAACAAATGAGTGACCATCAAATCGGCATAAAGTCCATGTAAATAGACCGCCAACTCCAAACGAACAAAGGAACTGGGTGAAATGAATGATAGATCCGTCACCAGCTAAAATACCTCCTCACCTCCACACCAAGACCCCAATGGACCACACAGCTTTCAGGCCTCACACTCCCAGGGCCCTTAATAGATATCCAAGAGGATAGAATCACACCGATCACAGGAATATGGCCTTCCTCACCATATAACCGTAATGATTTCAGTAGTGTTGAAATTGGTTTCAGGCCTTTACATCTTTATGTATTCATTTATGATGCATTTATAGTTTCATGCACCTTGTATGATTAGTTTTGCACATATTTTTTGCCATTAGACTTTGGCACAGTATTCTTTGCATTGTGTTTTTGTGCACTTATATTTAGGAAATGTCAGTCACTTGGTGACTATTGTTCACGTTGTATTTCATCACAATCTATATTGCACTTAGTTTGGTCCGGGTTCAGGCCTTTACATTTTTATGTATTATGTATGTTCAGTTGCTGATTATTACTCACGTTGTCTTTGTCACAGTTCATATTGCACCCAATTATGTCTGGATTCAGGCCTTTATACTTATCACCTCTGTTTTGGGGTTATTTTTTCTGTCTCCCCACTCTTCGAATTATTGTGTCCTTGTACTATTGATATTAGCGCAACACCATTTTATTTGTTTTGTTATCCTGTAAGAGTACAGACTTTCACTCCAATGTGCAAAAGGTTTACATATAATTTATCTTCCAGAAAGTCATAATGAAAAGGTTACTCTGCTTGAAAGAAAAATTAAAGTACTTCACACAAATTATTTCAAATCACAAGTGGACCCTTCAGAAAGATTTTTCAATGCAACAAAGCACGCTATACTATGCCCATTATGACTGTACTGTTTGCGTCTTTACCAATGAATCTTGAGACTCTGCATGGTATGCAGTGGTCAACAAATAATTTACATGGAAAAAAGAAAAAAAAAAAAAAAAAAAATATGCAGTTGCCCAATATGCAGTTGGCAAGCCTGTTGGAAAAGTAAAAAATGTGTACATGACAGTTTAAATACAAGACAAAATAAGAGAAAGCAACCTCTGTTCCCACATAGACAATGCTTAATGAGCTGCAGCTGCTCCTGCTGTAGACATAGCACAAACACAAGTCTGGAACAAAGAATCCCTGAAATGGCATAAGTCCGCTACAGCCACTAAGAAACCAGTGAGGATTCAGAGATGAGGACAGGCAAACATTGCCACATTTCTGTCCCCAGTAGCTCAGGAAGGAATCCCCAGCTTGACCCCAACAGCAGAGACCTGTGCAAGCTGAACACAGATGGGGGTGTCCCTGCGGTCACAGAAAGTACACACCATATATACTTAGACCTTCTAAAGTCAACAGGTTAAAAAACCTTAATGCATTACCTACATTAAACGTAAAAACCCAAACACTCGCCTTTACTTTACCCCTTGTAGTCGTCCACAGATCTACGCTTTGCAATAATCCTATCTGAGCTCTGTAAGCAATTCCTTTGAGGTCATGGCTTTTGCTTTAATACAGTATGCATGGTCTGTTGTGAGGCCTTTTATAGAGGCGTGTGCCTTTCCAAATCACGTCCAATTTAATTTACCACAGGTGGACTCCAATCAAGGCGTGGAAACATCTCAGCAACAATCAAGAGAAATTGGAGGCACCGGAGCTAAAATTTTAGTTGTTGCAATGGGTCTGAATACTTCTGATAAAAGGGAAAACTGAAATATCACATTGGCATATGGGGCACCGAGTGTAGATTAACCAATTGCTGACCAGTCACAGTACATATACTGCGGCAGGGTGGTACCGCTGTGTAAAATCTCGTATATATACACACACGTGATTTTGCATTTCGGGGGGGGGCACGACCGCCCTACCCACGCCGCCGATCGTGGCTGCGGGTGTCAATCACAGGGTCCCGGTCGGTGATTACCGGCAAACACTGACAGGGAGGATGGCTGCAGTGTTTACACCGCAGCTCTCCTCCGTCAGTTTTCAGCACACTGGTCCGGAACGCTGAGCACAACTTTCCGGATCAGTGTGTTACTGTGAAGAAAACACCCCCACCCCCTAGTAAAACACTCCCCTCACACAGTTAACCCTTTGATTGCCTCCAAATGTTAACCACTTCCTCCCCAGTGCAATTAGTGTCAGTGTTTTTATTTTTTTTTATTTTTGCATCGATCACTGTATTGGTGTCACTGGGGATGTCAGGGGCCCCAAGTCAGTTCACCCTAGTGTCAGAATGTCCACCGCAGTCCCGCCATAATTCGTTGATGCCGACATGATTAGTATATGAAAATAAATAAATAAATTCCAGTATATATAGCGCCATTTGTAGACGCTATATCTTTCATGTAAATCAATTAACTTACACGTATTGGGTTTTTTTTTTTTTTTTTTTTAAGCAAAGACATGCCGCAGAATACTGGACAAAATTTATGAAGAAATTTGATTTTTTTTCGTGGACATGTTTTATAGCAAAAAGTCCAGAATAGTGTTTGTTTTTCTCAAAATTGTCAGCCTATTTTTTTTATAGCGCAAAAAAAAAACAAAAAAAAAAAAACGCACAGGCGATCAAATACCACCGAAAGAAAGCTCAATTCGTGGGGAAAAAAAGGACATAGATTTAATTTGGGTGCAGTGTTGCATGACCGCTCAATTGTCAGTTAAAGTAACGCAGTGATATAACACAAACCGCTTATGTAGCCACTTCCTGACCACCCTAAAGCAGAATATTGCCACAGGGCGGCATGAGTGCGCAAAATCATATATACACACACACATATACACACACACACATATATACACACACACACACACACACACACACACAGGACTCGCGCTCCCGTGGTTTTCACGCCCCTCCCAGGTAGCATCAGATTGCCCCTCAGTACGCCAGCCATCACATTTAACCCCTTGATTGCCAGGAACACGCTCATACACAATAAACCTCCATTGCTAGTATAGTGTCTATACGGATCAAAATCTTTGATCAGATCAGCACTATACCAGCATTCACATTAGTATAGTGTCCCCAAAAATCACAGCATTAGCGGGATCAGCCCTGGCACCTGCGTTTAGCCCCTACGCTTATACTCTAAACAACTTTAACTACTCCCCTTGATTTTTTGGAGCCGTTTCTCATGGAAGATCTGTATGCATTGATTGTGGATCAAAGCAATTTATATGCACAACAATTTATCGCCACCATCCCAAATTCAAACCTTGCCAGACCATTTGCATGGAAACCTATTACGGTTTCCAAATTTACATTTTTTTTGTGGCCCAACCCTCAACATGGGCATTACAAAAAAAAAAAAAAAAAAAGAATTGTGGTTGTATTGGTCCACAGACCTGATTTATCATATGCCCATGTTCTCTGCTGCCATGGCCAGGCATAGATAGAGTATAATGCGTTTTATGCATTTCAACGACAACACACTCGGTCGTCCTCGAGGTGACCTTGAATTTGACCGGCTCCACAAAAGTCAGCCCCTTGTAAATCACCTTACACCAAAAATTTGCAGATGTCTATACTCCCCAGCAAAAAAAGCTGCGTTGAGTCCCTCATTAATTTTTCTGCCCGCCTTACATTCAAACAATTTCTCCCCAGCAAGCATGCCAGATATGAGATAAAGATGTAAGACCTGTGAGAGGGCAACAGGCTATACTTATAAGTTACATATTCACGAGAGAAAGGGTAGCCATGTGGAGCCCGCTCGGATGCCCAGACTACATGGGGAGCAGTGCTAAGATAGTTTGGGACTTGGTGTCATCCTTTCTCCATATGGGGTACCACTTATACGTGGA